ATGAGCCTGAAGACTGTATAATCAGAGTTCTGGAACAGGACAGGAAACAACTGGGATTCTAGTCCCTGCCAGTAAAAGCCTCTCCCTAACTCTGTAAGAGAGGAGCACCTTCACCATTTTATTTGATGCAAATTCATTTAACTGCTTTGAAAACGTCCCAAAGAAGATGCAAAGATGGGGCTTCAGCAGCTTCTACCTTCAGGTCTGGAGGCTTCTTGACTGCCTGAGCACCTGTGACAACACACTTTTTCTTGGAGTCCTGGAGCATCATCTAAGATTGTTGCTTTGAGCCCTAGAATGCCCGTTTATTCAAACTTAAATGGACAGACCTCTTTAGAGTTAGAGGGGTCTGTGATCCTGGGCGGAGTCAGGCTCCTCTTCTCTGGACTGGGAAGTGGCAGAAATACAAATGAGGATGAACAGCCTCATGCAGTGACCCCCAGACATCAGGGATTGTTGCCAGTCACTTGAGAATTGAGTGCCAAGGTCTAGGTGTCTCTTCAGCTGCCTCAGTGGACCTGTCTTCCTGCCCTGAAACCTCAAAAAAAAAAGGTGGTTTCTGTGCTAGGAGGGGCATGCCGAAGGCAAAAGGAGGGCCAGAGAGGACATAGAGGGTTGATGCTGAGAGTGAAATAGAAGGGAGGAAAGCCAGGCTGAAGATAAGGAACCCTAAGGAGCCGGTGAGCTGAGTGGGCCGGGCCGGGAGACGGTGAGGAGGCAGGGTGGCATGCCTCTGCTGCTGGCCGGAGCTCTTTTCACATTGTGCTACTGTCTGCATCTGTCACTAGCAGTGCAATGTTAAAAGGGCATTGGCTGAGTAGTGCCAACCTGCGCTGGCTGCCTCCTCAGCGCTGCCGTTTCCTCTCCCATCTGGGCACCGATCAGCTACCCTGGGAGGGATTTGGAAAGCCTCCCTTAGACATGCCGCTAGCTCACATTTCTGGAGCTACTTCTACGAGCACTGCATGTGCCAGACATCGTATGCATTATCATGAACCCTAACTACTACTTGGGAGATAACATCCCCATGTTACAGATGAAAAACTGAGCCCTGGGACCAGCAGATGGCATAATGGTTGCATCACTGGACTCCCACGTGGGCAACCACAGTTTGAGTCCCAGAACCAGTGGCTTAAAACTCAGGCCGGGCGTCTGCGCGTGTGTAGCCAAAATCCCAAGAGGAGGGGGGCAGAGAAGAAATTGTGGCATGGCCACCCCCTTGTGTGTCGGGAGGATATTTCACTTCTGTCTGGTGAGCGCATGTACCTTATAGCAAAAAATCTCTGAAGGAACTAGCAGTTAGCATAATGGCTATGTCGCTAGACTCCCATGTAGTCAACCTCCGTTCGAGTCCTGGACCCAGTGACTTAAACTCATGCCAGGCGTGTGTACATGGGTGCCCAAGACCCCAAGAGGAGGATGGAGGAGAAGGGATTGTGGCATGGCCATCCCCGTGGGGGCTGATTTCTTGCTTTCTGTCTTTCTGGCGAGCACATGCACCCTATACCAAAAACCTCTTTAAAAAAAAAAAACAAAACTGAAAACAAAACAAAAATGGAAAATCGAGCCCCTCCCCCAAAAGAGGTTTAAACAGTTTGGACAAAGTTACATCGTTCTTCAGTCACACAACCTAGCTTTAACTCTCCAAAGTCTGACAACATGCATCTTTTGGTGTGGACCTCTTTGGCGTGATGTGAGTAGGTTCTCAACTGGGAGATTTCCTGGCTGAAGGGCGGAAGGGTATGATGCCATCTGCTGGTTGTATGAGGGTATCATCCAGTCTCAAGGCTTCAAGGATAGAACTGGTGGCTTCTTGGCTTCCCTCACTCAACCTGGGATGGAGAGTGAGTGGAGAAGACTGGGACAATCTCTGTTAGACTCAGAGTAGACCTCCGTGAGGAAAAGAAGATGCACAGGAAATGAAAAAGGGTTAACTTGTGAGGTTTCCCAGAGAAAAGGGCCTGGGTGCTGCTTGCCTCCCAGATCTGCAGCAGCCTTCCTGTCTCCACCTGCAATGCTCAGCGTGACCCCTCTTGGTCATCGTGTTTGATAACGATGCTTCTTGAAGGTACATCTATCTGGGCATCTAAGATTTGGACAGTGCTGCCCATGGCCTGAGCTTAGAGATGAAATTGGATTCCTTGAGCCAAGCTCACAAAGATTCTTAAAAGGAGAGATTACAAGGGATTTGAGAGTAAAGATTGCCATTTACTTTTGTCTCCCACAGTGCCTGCTTGGCTTAATTAGAACGTCTTACAGTAGATGGAGAGAATTTATTTGGGAGAACTTTTTTTAAAAAAAGTTTGCTTAGGGTGTGTGCACCTGCTTTGGTGGAAGACACAGAGGGAAAGTGAAAAAGCACCCTCCGTGGGGTATGGCCACATTGCCATCCTTTCTCTCAGGATCTTGGGCACAAGTGCCTGGGATGTTTCTCAAGTCACTGGGTCCAGGACTCAAACCATGCAGTTGGCCATATGGGATCCAGCCACCTTAATACCCCCTTTTCCTCCATTGGCTGGCCTCTGAGAGAGCTTAAAGAAGTTTGCTGGTTTGTTCCTGATTTTTACACACGGGGTTTGGAGCTTGTGATGGGTTCCTGAACTCTGGTGCAAGAAGTGGGCCTGAGAGGGAGCCGGTCTCTGAGTCTCCTGTAGGAGCTTCAGAACTGTCAGCATTGCTGGGCATGGAGACTCTGAAAGGTGGGATCTCTTCTTTTCTCTTGCCCAGGCAGCTTCTCCATTCTAATGTTGACAACGGGATTTGAGAAGGCACAGTTAACTTTGTCTCTTAAGCCTATTAGAACTTTTTGTGTGTGCTGGAGGGTACTTATGAGGGAGAAAGTACCACCCCACCCCCATGGGGTGTGACCACGCCACTATCCTTTCTTTTCTACTTCGTCTTTTTTGATTTGGGGCACACATATGCATGATTGCTCGGCCCCAGACTCAAACAGCATACTTGGCCATGTGGGATCACCTGCCTTAATCACCAGGCCACAGGCTGGGCCTAGTCAATGAAAATTTCTATTTGAGGGGCAAGTGGCATGGAGGTTAAAGTGGCTGGGTCCCACATGGCCAACTGGGCAGTTTGAATCCTGGACTAGGTAGCTTGAAAAACACCGGGTACATGTATACGCATGCCCAAAATCACTTTGAATCCTGGACTAGGTAGCTTGAAAAACATTCTGGGTACATGTATACACATGCCCAAAATCAATGGAAAAGAATGGAGGAGAAAGGATTACAGTGTGGCCATCCCTCCTGGGGGTGTCTTCTCACTTTCCCTCTCTCACAGTCTCTCTCAGGCAAGTTTGAAAACCCAAAAACTGAAATAAAAGCAAAATTCCATTGGAGCCTCCTGTCTAGGCACAATATAATCATTTGATGATGCCACTCTACACTTGTTAAAAAATAAGAATTTCTTCAGGACCAGCAGATGATGTAATGGTTATGTTGCTGGACTCCCACATAGTTGGCCACGGTTCAAGTCTCAGACCCAGCAGCTTAAAAACTCACACCAGGTGTGTGTGCATACCTGAAATCCTAAGAGCAGAAGGGACTACTGCATGGCCATCCCCCCGAGGGGTGACTTCTCATTTTCTGTCTCTGTCTCAGTTGCTCCAGTGAGCACACGCACCCTATAGCAAAAAAAAAAAAAAACTCTCAAAATTTATTTTCCATTTTTCCTGTAGCCTTAGGATGAAATCTAGATGTTTTTATATGATGTATGGCCCCTGCCTTTCTCCTGTTTCATCTTTTATCTTTCAGCCACTTGGCACAGTTTTTTGCTTCTGCAATACTCCCCACTCCTGACCTTTTCCTACCCTAACAGTCCTCTAAACCCTCCTTTGACAACTCATATCTCCTGGGAGCTCCCGAGCTGCTTTTCCATCCCTGCCCCAAGTCCTTATCACATTCTGCTGGAATTGGCTGGATATTTTCCTCTTACGGACTGAAAGCTACATAAAGTCAGGTGCAGCCGACCTTGCTCACCACCAATCCCCAGTGCTTGACAGGTGCCTGGAAAGTAATAGGTATGCTACGAGTATTTACAATTTCAATGAATGAATCTAGAAATAACACTATGGTTTGCAAAATGATGCTTATGATGTGTACATTCTTCCTCGTAGATGTTGGACACCCACCAAACAGGGATTTCACATCAATGCACAAAACAACAAACTTCTGGGGTCACATGGCATTGATGCTGTGGTTTTGAGCTATTTTGTTCCACTTCCTGTCAACCGCCAGGGCAGCACCTTGGCTGATCAATTTCTCTTTTAGGCTTAAGTGTGCCTATGAGCTAGCTGACCAATACATTACAGAACTGAGGTGAAAGGTTATGGGATCCAAGAAAATCTTTGTGCTAGGATGGACCTCTCCTGGTTCCCCAATTCTAGATCCAGGCAAAAATGAGCTCATGGTCAAGGGCTCCAGTAGACACGAGCTGTTTTGGATGTTCTAGCTGGAATACAGCTTACAGAAAACTCAGCCCTCTTCCTAAGCAAAACTACTGAATGCTCAGCCCCTTGCAAAAGCTCAAGTGGGAAACCGAGGCGAGTTGGCTGGGTCTCGCCAGAGACAAAGGAACTGGTGCCACCTAGTGGTGTGTGAGGATGGACCAAGGTGTGCGAGCGACAGGGACAAGTACATGCACCAAGGAAAGTCAGAGGACCGTCCCTCACAGCTGCTTTTCCCATTTTTATTAAAAATAGACCCAAACACTTTTATGTATCATACAAAAGTTTCGTTCGCTGGTGGCAGCCATGGGAAAGCCTGGCCCCGCAGCACTGATTCTCCACCTTCCCTCCAAGGAATTGGATCCCAGGGAACAGTGGCTGGAGACCAGAGAACGCCCATAAAGACTGCTCGCTCTGGAAACGCCCAACTAGGGGTGGGGGCTCTTCCAGGACAGCTTTCCCCACCCCACCCGGTGGCAAAAGTTAGATACTCGAAAGTGCCTGTGTAGTGCCAAGATAAACGAGTGGAGTGAAATGGTAACCCTGGTAGTTCTTTTATTTCCCAGGACCTGGGATTTAGGTTTTCCCTTCTGCCCAAGTCCTTTCTCCTACAAATGCAGGTGGGAAACGTCACCCTCTCAGTCTCTCCATGTCTGAAGCCAGGATTTCACTCCAACCCAAGCTTTCTCTCTGCTGTTCTGTAGCCTAGGTTCTACCAGCTCCATGACCGAGGGTTGTCTGCTGTTTACTCAAAAAGGGTGAGGTGAGAACAAATTCCTCCCCTAGTCTTCTCTGCCTGAGTTTACTCCTGCCATCGCCTGAATCTTCAGAATCTTGGGGCCAGAGGGGGCCACGACCATCCCACCCCAGTTCTGTCTCTCCCTGACTGCTGCCCACTCCTGAGCCTTGAACACCCCTGGGGTATCCCCAGGCCCCTGTTCCAAAAAGGGCCTGGTAGTGATGTGTGGAGGCAGGGGAGGGGTTGGTCAGAGCCTGGTCTCCCCCAGGGGTGGGGCAGTACTCATGCTGGTATGGACTGCTTGGCAGGGCCAGGGGCAGGTGGGGGAGGGTGGGGCATGCGGAGGAAGGGCACAGCCTGCCTGAGCCCCTCAGTCCCAGCCGTTGTCCTTCACCATGTGTGACATCTCAATGATGTACTTCCCTTCTTTGTACTTCTGGCTCGTCTCAAAAGCTTGTTCCTGGTGGAGGTGGAAGCAGCGAATATAGGAAAAAGCAGTTTCCCTCCCCACCCCGGCCCCACGACCATCTGTATTACCCCCAGGGATCCCCACCTAGTCCAAGTTGGTTACTGGTTATTGTTCTTTCCTCTATGGTCATGCCACGTTTCATGTGGTCACTGGGGCTTGGGGGGAGTCTAAAGATGTCCACTTTAGGGAGGGGCTCTTGCCCAGGTACTTACATATTTCCAGCCCAGTGTGGTTTTGCAGCTCTCGCAGAAAATGTCAGCTACCGAGTGGAGCCCCGTGAGCAGAAGGCGCTGTTCAGCCGGCCCACACCCCACGTTGACCCTGTCTCAGGAAACAGGAAGGACGCAGTACCCAGTGGGGTTGCTCTGTCAGTCCAGCCTCCAAAGAACTCAAAGGAACTTCCACTTAAAAAGTACTGGAACCCCTGTCTTTGGCAATCCACACCCCCTTCCATGCCTAGTCCTGGGCCTTCCTTTTCCAACCCAGTGATTTCAGTTTTGCTCATGCTTCCCACAAGAGAAGTACATGCTGTTTCCTGAACCCCTTTGCTGCAAAAGCCCAAGGTAATGGCTTGTCCCCTTGCTCCCCTGTCATAGAGGGAAAGTATTCGCACAAGCACACATGCACAAAAGGAGACTCACACGGAGTTAAACAGGTAGGCTCGGCCATGGCTCCCTTGGAAGGACTGTGGAGATAGGACAGACGGTTGCCAACACCAGGTGGCCCTCAGCCCCCACTTTCCAAACCCCTGCCTAGCCCCGAGGTGATGCTGGGGCAAGCCTGGCATGAGAGACAGGCGGGGTGGGGCAGGCCACCACTTAGCATACCTTGGAAATAAGCTCATCGTGTTTGGCCAGGTGTGCTCGGCAGTGGACACAGCTGTAAGTGCGGTGGCAGCGGGGCAGGTAGCTGCGGAAAGTCTTGGCGGGGAGGCAGGCGGGGCCTGGGCCCGGGTCGCAGCTGGGCATGACGGGCTGGAGGACAATGCCCTGGCGGGCCGGAGGGGCTGGTGCTGTGCAGCCCCCACACAGACGGTCGCAGGTGAAGCAGCGGAGCAGGTTGGCTAGAGCCGTGTTTCAGGGCAGAAGAAATGTGGGGGGGCTGCCCGGCCAGGGCCCCCCCAGACGAGAACCAGATAGAAACAGAAGTCACCTGGGAAGAGGGGAAGGTGCATCAGGGGAGCTGTGACCTCGTGAGGAAGCCATCCTGAGGGCATGGAGGAGATGGGACTCAGTTCCTCTTTACCCCTACTTCCCCTGTCACCATCGACCAGCTCCCAGCACCAGCCTCCTCGTCCCCTGGACTCCCGTTGTTTTGTCAAGCATGGCAGCAGTTCCAGGCTTCTGGCGCCATAGCCAGGGAGTCCACGAAGCTCCCTCCTGGGTGGCAGCAGCCTTCACCATTTCCACTGAGAGCAGCCCCAGGTGCTGCCTGGGGAACGGAACGACTGGCTCTGCAGGTGCCTCTGCTGGCTTCTCGGCCTTTCGTGGGGACCGGGGATTGGCATCACAGAAGCAGTGGTAGACGCTGTGTCTCTGGGGCTCAGGGCCTTTTAAAAGTTGGGGCTGCCTGATTTTTTTTTTTTTTTTTTTAATTCATGGCCTCCATTTGCAATCCGATTGGTCCTTTCTGCACTGTGTGGGAGGGAGAGCAGGCTGGCAGGCAGGCAGGTACACAGGCCCTGCTCAGCCCTCTCCTGGGGCAGGTCCTGTACTCTGGGACTCCTCTAGAATGTACGGATGATTCCTTTGGTACCAAAGACCTCAGGTGAGGCAGTGCCCCCATCCCTGTGCCTTGGTTCACTCCTTCTGGCCCGGAAGAAGCACTTGCTATCTTGCCAGCTCCTGGGTCTCTTTTTACTTTTTTTTTTTTTTACTGTTTCTTAGCCCTCAGTTAAAGACTTATAGGCACCCTGCTGTGGGAGGAAAAAAATATGTTTTCTTAAGGCAAAATAGACCGTTGGAACTAATGGGGAATAGGTCCCAACACAGGGAAGCCAGAAGTCCTGGGCTGTGTGGGACTGTGAGAGAATAATGTCCACAGTGAACAGTGGAAGGGACGACTCTCCTTAAAGGCTGTGCTTTGGGGCACGAAGCAGAAATGTTTCTTTTCTACCTTCTCCTAGGGGCAGGGACTCCGTGGGTGACTGAAGATGAAATAATTGCTGGGTTCTGATTAGGAGCCTTGAAGAAGATGTTGGCATCTGCCCACACTCCACCCCCGGAGTGGTGAGGGTGCCTGGGGCAGAGGATAAGCAGGGAGGTGTCCTGTGTGGGCTCTGATAAACAGGTGAGGTGCCGTCTTCTTTGTGGGGTCTTACGCCCATGGTGGGTGACTTGGCTCAGGTCTTGTCCAGAGCTGCAGCTGGGAGCTCTGGGAATGCTAGACCCTAAGCAGAAGAGGCAGTGCACTGACCGGCCAGCCAGGGCAGACGGCCCTTCTCAAGCTGTCCTCTGCGGTGGCCACACGGCTCCAGCTGTTTTATTCTCCCCGAGGGCCGCCAGGCAGTCTCTCCACAAAACCCCCAAGAGAGACCATCTTCAGTT